CGGCCGTGCGCCTGCTGCTGCCCGGGGAGCTAGCCAAGCACGCCGTGTCCGAGGGCACCAAGGCCGTCACCAAGTACACCAGCTCCAAGTGAGCAGGTTTTCCTATTCATGACAACCAAAGGCTCTTTTCAGAGCCACCAACGTTTTCAAAGGGAGCTGGCGCTCAATTCCACATTTGAGGCAGAAGTCTATTTTAGTCCGTGTTCTTTGATTCTGTTTTAATTCATGCAAAAGATGACTTCTTGCTTTCGTGCGTAGATTACACCTGCCACCAGGGTAGTATTGGCTTTGCATGACTTATTCCGATTCTAATGCTGCTCTAGGCTTCTGTTTTCCTCCTGGCGGAGGGGAAATGTCCCAGTAGTATGACTGCCAGGTCTCAGACACACCTTCTGGGTTCACAGTGGTGCTTCAGTCCCTGCCGCGTCCTGTGGCTCCAAAGCCGGTCACCAGAGCGTGCAAATGTCACGGAAGTCACTTACCAGGTCAGAAGGGAATTCCACTGACCCCTCCCACTTTCTCTTGGACCCCTGCTGCAGGGGGAGAGTGCCCCCTTGTTAGGGCAGCCCTTGGGGAATCCCATGTGTCTCCTGGACCTGGGCCCAGCCCCTCTGGCCTTCAGACCACCATAGTCTTTGACAGTCCTTGGGAGACACTGAACCAGGACTGCCCAGCGAGGTTGCTCCCAGACCTTTACCTAGAACCTGGGGACACTACATGTTTGCTGTCACCGTCGCCGGGCTATGGTTGGGGGTGAGCCCTGGATAACGATAATCTAGCTAAGCCTTCTGTCAAGGCTGATCCCTGCTATACCTTGTCTAGCACACTGCTGCACACCCACGTCCCAGAATGTTCAAAAAAATTTAGGAGTTATAGTTAATGCTAAGTATTTTTTAAATAATTACTTTTTTATTTAATTTTATTTATTCATTCATTTATTCTTAATTTGAGCAGAGAAAGACACAGAGAGAGATAGAAAGAGAGAGGGAAACTGAGAAAGCAGGCCACCAGGCCCAGAACTCAAACCATGGTCAGCCATGTGGGAGTGTCTAGCACCTTAGCCACTATGCCACCTGCTGGTCCCAATGTTAAGTATTTTTGTTACTTATTAAAACCTAAACAGCATGTAGGGATGGAGAGGTGACTGTGGCTTGACCCTGCCCCTTAGGGGTAGCTTTCTCCCTCTCTGTCTCTCTTGTGAGCATATGCACATGTCTGTGTGGGTGAATATGTATTTTTATCCATAGTATCATTTGTCATGTATTGTTTTATGATTTACATTGTTTATATTATTTATATTATTGTATTCAGTGTAAGTATCATTTAAATTTTGGTCATTTTATATATATATATATATACACACACACACACTACACACACACACACACATATTTCTTTTTTGTTTTATCTGGGTTTGGCCTGTATTATGTTTACTGAATATATATGTTTGGGTTTTTTTTGTTTCTGTTTTTTGGGTTTTTATTTTTTTTTTTGCTATAGGGCGCATGCAAAGAGAGACAAAGCACGAACTCACCCCCCTGGGGGATGGTCACACCGCAATCTTTTCTCCCCCATTCTCTTCTTGGGATCTTGGGCACGCATGCATACAATGCCCGGCGTGAGTATAAGCCACCCGGTCTGGAACTCAAACTGCGGTCGACTACATGGGAGTCCAGCGACATAGCCATTATGCTAACTGCTGGTCCCCTGAATATATATGCTTTTAAAATAAATCATCTGCAAAATAAAACAGGCCCAGCCTGGTGATGCAGTCAGTAGCAAGCAGCCAAGGTGCTGGAAGCCGCAGGGCTGACCATGGGCCAGGCCCCCAGGCAGCCTGAGATGCTGGAGAGGGGAATCTTGGAGTGGCTGACTCCATGGAAGGTGCTTCTCTCTCATACGCTGCTATTGTGCACAACATACATGAACTTTTAAAAAGAAAATCAGTTTACGTTTTTTTTAAGGTTTTTGTCCTCCGGGTGCTTATGCTTGCTAGAGAGAGAGAGAGAGAGAGAGAGAGAGAGAGAGACAATGTGAGAGATCACACCCCAGGAGGATGGCTACGCCACAATCCCTTCTCCTCCATTCTCTTCTTAAGATTTGGGGCACGCAAGTACACATGGCAGGCATGATTTTCAAGCCACTACATCTGGGACTGGAACTAAAGTAGACCTTGTGGGAGTCAGCCCATCCCTGAACCACCACACCACCCCTACTTTAAAGGACTGCCTTATACCACTATGCTAGTGGAAAATTCAACACCGAAAAAAGAAACAGTTATTCCTTTGCAGAGATACAAGCTTGCTCACTAGTACTTTGAGCCAGAGACTTATTTTGTTACAAAGAAAACTAACGGGGAAGGTTTACAGTCACTAATGAGGCCTAGAGACCTGCCCTGCATGAAATCCACACTTCCCCAACTACCTCATTAGACCATTCAAAACCACTAGAAGAGAAACTTATTCTCTGTTGTAGTATTTCTAAAACCAAAGTCCATAAACTCTTAATACGATAATTCCTCATGGCCCCAGTGGCACTTACCGTAGACCTGGGAAGAAGCTGGTTTAACTAATGCATTATTTAGTTGAGTCATTCTTATACGTCGAAGGGATTTTTAAAATATTCATCCCAGGTCCAGCTGCAATGGGCAGGGAAGGCTCCATGCCCCGCAACCCTGCAGCCGTGTGATTCTGACACGCATGTGCCGCGTCCCTTCCTGTCTGGGAAAGCCTGGGGAAGGGTACATGGGACCCTATCGAGAGAGCCGTCTCCCGTGAGGTAAACATATAATATATTACATATATGAAGTGTCGGAGTTCACATTGTAGTGGAGCACTTACTGAGTTATACTCGTGATCTGTGTGACGCATGGCTGGCGCATCAGCACCTCACCCCGGTTCCTCGGACACACTTCGGAGCGAGGTAGAACATGGGGAAGCCTCTCTAAGAAATCCGGGAACTTACAGGTAGCTCCATTTTGCAATCAAGAGCACGCAGGCTCTCCAAGGTGCCCCGGTGACCAGGCAGCAAGCGTAGTCCCCACAGGCTCCACAGCCTCTGCTCCGGGCCCTGCATGGAGGGCAGGGTAGGTTCTTTTCTTTTTTCTCTTTTTTTAGAAATTTATGCTATAGGGCGCATGTGCTTGCCAGGCAGACAGAGAGAGAGAGACAGAAAGCGAGAAATCACCCCCCAGGGGGGATGGCCACGCCGCAATCCCTTCTCCTCCATTCTCCTCTCCGGATCTTGGGCACACATGCACATGTGCCTGGCGTGAGTTTTAAGTCACCGGGTCCGGGACTCGAACCGCGGTTGACTACGTGGGAATCCAGCGACATAGCCATTACACTAACTGCTGGTCCTGGGCCGAGTAGGTTCTTCATGTGCACTGTCAGAGTGTGGTCTTGGCCCATGCAGTTGGCCACGTTCCATACTTCACTGGCTCCTGCAGTGCCTTCCCATCTGTCCACACACCTCAGTGGATCCTGTGTGCTCTGATAGTCGGCGACTGGACGGCCAGCGTTCACACAGGGCTCTGCACCTCAGGGCCTGCCTTCAGGGCAAAACGACATGGCCTTGTTGTTGGGGCTCAGACAGTGAGGCAAGGGACACCTCAGAACCAGCCCAGAAGCACCTTTCTGACCTGCCCTCCAGACTCTGCCCCTCACTCTCCCTGAGGCAAGCCTAGGAACTAGAATCCGTCTGCCCCAAGGCAGGTCACAGAATCCAGAACCCTGTGCCCCAGGATTTACGTCGGCTGTAAAGCCTAAACATTCGTGCCTTTTCTCCACTAGACTGGGTAAGAGTGGCGTAGGACTCCCACATGGCCATCTGTGCTTTGAGTCTGGGACCTGGAGGCCTGAAAGTCATGCCAGGGGGCATATGTGCATGTGCCCAAAATCCCAGGAGGAGAATGGAAAAGGGACTGTGGCGTGGCCACCCCTCCAAGGGGTCATTTCTCCCTTTCCCTCTCTCTGTCTCCTCTCTGGCAAGCACACGTACCCGATGGCAGGAAATCTGCAGCTGCTGTGCCTGGTATCAGCTCACAGACCCTCATTCCAGCATGTCTGCCCTGCTCCTGGAGAGAGGAGGCTAGGGAGAGTCTGGGAAGGTGGCCCTGCTGGGTCCCCTGGTCTGTCCATGCCATCCCATTTTGTCAAATCCAAGCATAAGGTCAGATCTCTCCCTGTGTCTGGGTCTCGGTCTGGAGGCTCTGGGCCACGTGTGTGCGCACTCATTAGGTGTACACGCCTTTCTCTTCCTACCTGCCAGCGGTCAGCGCCCTCAGGAACCTCAGGGAGGGAGCGACTGTGCTTCCCCACAGTACACGAGAGCACACGGGACACGGTCAGCCACTGGCAGCTGTTTACTGGGCGTGGTGTGCCTTGTGAGGAAAGTGCAAAGGTGACTTCGATCTAACAGGACACGGAGGACACGTGACAATCTGTGGGGTGCAGGCTGTGGTGTGGTACAGGCTGGCCATGCTTTGGGGTGCAGGATGGCCATGTGTTGGGGTGCAGGATGGCTATGTGATGGGGTGTAGGCCAACTGTGTTGGGGGGCAGGATGGCCGTGTGGTGGGGTACAGGCTGACCGTTTTGGGGGGGCAGGATGGCTGTGTTGGGGTGCAGGATGGCCGGGTAGTGGGGTACAGGCTGACCGTTTTGGGGTACAGGCTGACTGTGGTGGGGTGTAGGGTAGTGGGGTACAGGCTGACCGTTTTGGGCTACAGGCTGACTGTGTTGGGGTGTAGGCCGGCTGTGTCATGGAGTGTAGGCTGACTGTGGTGGGGTGCAGGATGGCCTTGTGTTGGGGTACAGGCTGACTGTGGTGGGGTGCAGGCCGTGATGACCACATCACTGTGACCAGGGCAGGGCCAGTCAGATCACCAGGGTGGGCGTGCTGGGCTCAGGTGGGGTCTGTGGGCCTCCCCACCTCCTCCCCACCCCATGGCCACCTAGAACCCTTCTCTAGACAATGCTCCCTTTCTGCACAAGTAAGTTTAGAGCAGCCCTCCCTGGGTCGCATGGACAGGCCCAAGCCTCCTGGACTGAGAGGCGTGACCCTGAAGGCCCTGGTGCTCCCCTGCAGCCTCCTGAGTCCCTCCTCAGTAACGGGTGGCTGGTGGTGAGCGGGAAGGCATGCCATCACGTACGCTGCACCAGCCGACCCCGGGAAGGTCCCGGTTCTGGCCCATGCCCTCCCTGAGGTCCCGTGTGCAGGCGTGGTGGGGCTGGCTCTCCAAGCTGTCAGATGCCGCCCTCCGTCCCTGTAACTCGTGGAAGACGTGGCAAGCTGTGACCACAGTGCCAGCACCGCCATGCTCTGGAATCACAGCCCTGTGGGGACCCACTCACTCTCCTCTGTCAGTAAGACTCACACTCTCACAGGGGAGGGCTCTCTGTCCTCGCAGACGCCGCCCCCAGCTCCCAGAATTGCCCTGCTAGCCCTCAGGAGGCCCTGGCTAAGTAAAGCCCCTCACACTCCACACCCCCAGAAAGACTTAGGCCTCATCAGTCTTCAGTAGGGAAGAAGTTCCTCCTGTTTTGTATTTTTGTGGCGGGCTTGACACCACGTGGCCGGTGGTGTCACTTCATCCCGCCTCCAGGCAGGCCGGCTTTATGACTGTGTGCCAGCATCCTGAACGGGGAGCCTCCGAGCTAGGAGTTGGAGGAGAGGGAACAGAAACCGGCCATCTGCAGAAAACACCTGTGCTGGCTGTGAGTGTCTGTGTGAGAGTCGGGTGGCATGCAAGTATCACGCCGCCTACCAGGTTTGTGTGCCCGCTGTCAGCAGGGATGGCAGACTCCGGAAGCCCAGGGGCTCGAGGCTCTGCTGGTATCTCACAAGCTCCACTCGAGGGGGTGCTCTGTTTCCAATGAGGAAAAAAACTTTCCTAGGCTATTTATCCAGATTGGAAAAAGAAGGTCCCTAGGATGGATTCTCTCACCTACTGCCATGTTCCAGTCTACTTCTCTCTGCTCTATAAATTGCAGTTTTGGGGGAAAATACTGACAAAAATGGTCCAGGGCAAATGGTGTGGATTCCTGACACTGCCAGGTGCAGAAGCCAGCGTGACATGGCCTGACACCCTGGTGGGATCAGCGCCCGTCACTCCCCGCAGCGGCATCGTCAGTGCCGTTCCGCACACCAGCCAGGCGCTTGCTCACCAGGCAGAGAACTCTCAGCTCTAGCTTTGACAGTTCTCTCCCTGTCCCTGGAGCCAGAATCCATGTATAGATAGATATAGAGATAGATGATACGATAGATAGACAGACAGACAGACAGAGCCCCACGTGGGTTTGAGGAGCTGTAGCTTCTGTAACCTTGATCTCGGCCTGCGGAATGTATCCTGGTAGTCTTGTCCCTTCAAATCCTCTGCTCATTTTCGCTCCTGGATTCAACTCCTGACCCCCTCGTTTGGTACAAGCCAATACCAGAATTTGCAGCTGACTCTGCATCAATGCAGAGGATCAAAGGCAAAGCCGTGATGGAAACCTGAATGCCTAGTGGGTTCCCTGCCATCAAGCAGCATGGTGGAGAGCTGGTGGGAGCTGGCGGGAGACGGAAGGGTCACAGAATTGCCATGTCTGTTCTCAGACAATCGAGGGAGGGACAGGTACATGGAGAGGACATGGCACAGCTGAAATATACACAGGCGTTTGCACATGCAGCCATCGGAGCAGCCACCCAAGGCTGTGAGAGCCACGGAGGTCTGGGGTTTTCAATAGCCGGAGCAGCTGATGCCCGGCCAGGCCGAGGCTGAGTGCCTGTGCCGTTGGGTGGGCTTCAGAGAAAAAGTTAGGGCTTAGGTCGGTGGGGAAGTGGCAAGGGCGTTCGATTAGCCGGGGATCAGAAAGTGAATTCTGTGTGTTGTGGTAAATGTAGATTCAACATGTCGAACACAGAACGCAAGAAGCACAGCTGAAGTGAAGTCCCTCCAGCCCCTCTGAGCATTACTCTGGAGTCAGCATTCTTGGTCTGGGGACCTTGGTCTGCAAACTTAAGGTTCAGGGTATCTGGAGACTAGATGTCGACTTTTAATTTAGCCCAAACCATGTGTTTCCTGAACCCATGTACCTTTTTAACGGCTCTGTCAGAAATTTTTTAAATCTTCTCTTCCTTTTTAAAAAGCATTAATATTTCTAGAGAAGCACCACTAGGTTTGGGGTTCCCGGTGCTTCAGAATGACGGAATAGGTGACGCTTGAGGCCGGTTTCTGTACAAGGGCTCTTCCCTGCTACCTTCTTCAGTTCGGTACTGGGGCGTAAAGGGGTAGTTAAGTATAAACCTAGTTCTATAAACGTCACTGACCAGGCTCCTGGCCACAGGCCGGCAGGAAGCCGGCAGCATCCACTGTGTACCGCGAACTTGTCCACCTCGCTGTGCTTTCTCACCAAGTAGCCACTGCCCAATATTTTAAATAATGTATTTATGTAGCCATCTTTTTGACAAATGGGTTTTTATAGCCACCTACATGCTCCTATACATACTTAAACAATGTAACTGCATTTATTTTTGAGCTTTATAAAATGGTATCAGATGCGAACCATCTGAGACCGAAATTCAGCTGTGTGGCTGTGGCTGTCACGCTCTGGCTGCGGGGCCATCCATGAGTGTCCCTCTGCACGTGCACTCTGTGCAGTGTTCCTCTGTCCCTGCAAGTCTCCTGTGCACATGGGCAGAAAACCCTCTCATGGAGACACTCGGAGTCACAGTTGGGTCACTGGAGTGCCCTCGTGGGACGAAAGGTAACATAGAAAACCTTCACCAAATCTAGCCCAGTGTGGGAGCGTTCTCACCCCGAATCCTGGCAAAGACCAAAATCATTATAAATATGCCTTTCTTAAGGGCTTAAAACAGGGATACTGATGGTGCCTATGGGGGGGGGGGGGCTTTTAACTGGAGGTGCCTTGTGGGGGGGGGGGACTGTTAGCGGGAGAATAGCCTGTCCCTCTTTTCAAAGTTCTTCTATTTGATAAATAGTAAATTAAGGTGAAGGGGAAAGAACACACAGCAGGGCCTAACAGGAAATGTAGTAGAAGCTCATCCCGGCAAGACGCCCCCACTTGCGGCAACGAGCCCGCCCGTTGCTCCCCGCCCGTTGCTCCCCGGCTGCGGCGTAACAGCCCATCCCGCAAAACCCACCTGCGGCGTTTCAAATCGTCCGCGCGGCGTCTGGATTGGCCTGTGCCGCTCAGTCTGGGAGTGACGCGAGAACTCTGAATTGACTTCGGCCTCCTGCCTATCTTGCTTTGCTAAATCTAAACTCGGGAGCAGAGGACGGCACTGCCCGTGAAGAAAGCGCGGCGAAGGTGGCCTGGGCGTTTCTGTGCCGAGTGCTGCTCAAGAAGATACCCAAGAAAGTCAGGCAGAGCGGCCCGGCATTAATGCTGCTTTACCGCCTCCGAAAGTCTAAAACTAAATAAAGTCACCCCGGAGGTTGCTGAAGCACGCACTACGTGGAGGGCAAAGCAGTTCCTAAGATGACCCAAACAAGAAAGACGGGGCACTGTTCCTTTGTAACAATGTACGAGCTCTTTTGATAGCGTTAAGTGGCTCTGAAAAGAGCCTTTGGGGTTGGGGGTAAAGACGCTTAATTGGCGGCCTCACTTGGAGCTGGTGTACTTGGTGACGGCCTTGGTGCCCTCGGACACGGCGTGCTTGGCCAGCTCCCCGGGCAGCAGCAGGCGCACGGCCGTCTGGATCTCCCGCGACGTGATGGTCGAGCGCTTGTTGTAGTGCGCCAGGCGCGACGCCTCGCCCGCGATGCGCTCGAATATGTCGTTGGCGCACGAGTTCATGATGCCCATGGCCTTGGACGAGATGCCCGTATCGGGGTGCACCTGCTTCAGCACCTTGTACACGTACACCGAGTAGCTCTCCTTGCGGCTGCGCTTGCGCTTCTTGCCGTCTTTCTTCTGCGCCTTGGTCACCGCCTTCTTGGAGCCCTTCTTCGGGGCCGGAGCCGACTTAGAGGGCTCAGGCATGGTCGGGAACAACAGAACAAACTTCAGAGAACTAGGAGAGCAGATCTGGGAAGGTCCTCTTCCTTCACAGCGTCTTAAATACAAGCAGGTAGTGAGTAAAGCTATGTTTGATTAGTGGAGAGTCATGATTACGTCATATAACATTATCCAATCAAAAGCAATTTCCTTAAAACTCACAATTCCATTGGCTTCAGTGAATCTGAAATTTCAGCCAATGGGGTGGCTTCATTTTCGCGCCCAGGGTCAGCTATTAGTACTGCAAGTCCTGCGGCAGAACTACTGGCCACTCGGTTGCGGGTGGTTTGTCCTGATCATGTCTGGTCGCGGCAAGCAGGGCGGCAAGGCGCGCGCCAAGGCCAAGACCCGCTC